AAGAAACTCCTTTTACCTTTCACACTAGAGGCATCTACTTTGACTTGTCTACTCACTCACTAGAGATCTCCCTACCCAACCCTCTCATCTTTGCACTATCAAGAAGGGAAGGAACACAGATGACTGGGCTGGAACACAGTTTGGGGAGAAAGAGAAGAATGCAGGAAAGGGAAAGAGGTGTGAGGGTGAAGCAAGGGTGAGGGAAGTTTCCAATGCTACATCAAAATATTTCTGATTTGAGGTACATCCTATTACCCAAAATCCATTCTTTGCTAATAAATCTAAAAGTATGCAAATTTCCTAGATATGTTCCATAATGCAAAACTATAAAAAAAAATTAAATAATTTCAGGCTTAAGGAGAGAAAATATTCGGATGAAACCACACAAAAGCACAGTAAAAATGTTTCCAATGAGGCTACCGACACAAACAAAAGCAATTAGAATAGTAAAAACACAGGCAGGAGAACTGACCTCAACACAAGGAAAACCTTTGAAGATATAGCCACAGGCAGTGCTTTTTCTGAATTGAGCCCTAATTGCTCAGAAAATAAGACGAAGAATTCAAAAATGGGGTTGCATTAACTTAAAAACCTTCTGCCCGGCAAAGTAAACAACTATCAGAATCAAAAGGATAGGGAAAAAAACCTTTGCTAGTGTGAGGATAAAGGCCTAATACCCAGAACATATGAAAAGGTCAAAAACTTAATCATCAAAAGAACAAATAATCCAATTAATAAGTGGGCAAATGAACAGCTTTCTAAAGAACAAATGGCTAATAAACACATGAAAATGTACTCAACATCCTTAGTCATACAGGAAATGCAATCAAAACATCACTGAGAGTCCATCTCACTCCAGTCAGAATGGCCATCAAGAAAACAAGCAAGTACTGGCCGGGTACACAGGAGGAGAATTGCAGACCCTCATATGTTTTGACAGGAATGTAAATTAGTGCAGCTACTATGGAAACCAGTATGGAGGATCCTGAAAAATCTAAAGTCACCATCATGCCACCATGATCCTGCTGTAGTGGTCATGGGCACATACATCTAAGGAACGTTACATCAATATACTGGGGCGGTAACCGTGCACCCACATTATAGCAGCACTATTCAACAGCCAAGTTCTGAAAGCAGCCTAAGTGCCTATCAACCAATAAATAGATAAAGAAAATGTGGTTTGTATTCACAATGGAGTATCGCTCAGCCATAAAGAAGTATGAAGTTATGTCATTTGCAGGAAAATGGCTGCCACTTGAGATCATCACATTAGGCGAAAGACAAAATATCGCACGTCTCTCTCGTATGTGGAATCTAGTCATTGAAAATGAATAACAGTAATGTAAAACAGGTTCTGTTTTGGGGTAGGTACCAATGTGAGTGGGAAGGGAAAAGCAGGTGAAGGAGGGGGTGTATATGGCCAAGCAATTTATACGCATGTATGAAAACAGAACTATGAACATGCTGAAATTGTTTTTAGGAGGGGAAGGGGACATGGGTGAATTTGATCAAGGTACATATTGCATGCATGTGTGGAAGTGTCACAAGGAAACCCCTTTGCATATATGCTAAAATAAACAAACCCAGTACTGGAAAAAAAAAGAAAAGAAAAAAGACTGCAAGGGAAAAAAAAAAGAAGAAAATAAACTCTTTGGAGTCTTACATCTATCATCTAAGAGGAGGAAGTAATGGAAAACTAACTCAAAATATATTAGCAAGTTGGTATCTGTGTTAACCTAGCTTCTGTAAATCTAATACTGAAAAAGATCAAAGAAACAAACAGTTATTGGGCCAGTGAGTATTTTGCTTAAAAGGATTTTCAAAGGCTACAGGGTACATATTTAAAATTCCGCAGTAATAAAATAAAATTCCATGGTCAAAATGATTTGAGAAATAAAAAAGTCATTTTTTTTTCACTGCTTTGTTGTTAAGCATATTCTGGATGAAAAGAATTTTCAAATGCAACACAGACTTTTAAAATTAAAATTTCCACATGTTTGATCTTACTGTCAAAATCCTTTAGGACAAAGTCAAAGTTTTCTTTCCTATTTACTATTTTTAAACCAAAGACACAAGTAACAAAAGATTTTTAAAATAATGTTGAATAGACTTCTATCATCCTTTGAATCTACTTGTCAAAGATATGGACTACTTCACATATTACATGTATGCATTTTTAGAATTATCCTGAACATTATATTATAGCAAACATTAAGAACTTTTATTTTAGAGTGCTCAAGCAAATTTTGCTCACTATCAACACAGAGCAATTCTAGCAGAAGCACTCATGTCATTAATGTAACAGGCAGAACCCACTGAACAATGTATTTGCTACCAATATCAATTGAACTACCTAAAACATGCAGTGGGATAAATCCTTTTTGAGGGGATGGGGGCAGAGGACTGCTGGAGATTGAACTCAAGACTGCACAAGCTAAGGGCAAACTCTACCACTGAGTTATACCCCCAGTACCACGACTGTATAAGGTAAATTGTGTTTTTATTCTACTGAGTAAAAGTATGTTAGTATTATATTCTTTATACTTACAATATTATTCTATTAAGCATATTCATTTTATCTATATTTAAAAGCATAAAATACGAATACTTCTAAAATATTTGTTAGTACATTCAATTCGTTCAGCAGTGGACAACAAATTTTCCTCACCCACATATTGGGGTGGGAGTGGTGAGGGGAACGACATGAAAGGTTTCATTCAGCAAAACTGAACATGTCTGAAATCAAACTTCCAAGGAAAGGAATGGGATGTGAACCCATTCCAATTCTAAATGCCCTCCTCCGGCATCATTCTATCCATCCAAAATAATGTCACCACTCAAATTCGAATACAAAGAGGAAAAGTCAACATACCTAATTATATTTTTATATCAAATGCCAACGCTTTAAATCCATTTTAGGTTTAAACTTTTTCTAGATAACAATCCCTTCTGAGATACTGTTTCAGAATCATTAGTATTTCTGAATTACAAGAAAACAAAGGTCCACATTCAATCATGAATATAAGGTATAAAAATAATTTCATTACATTGCTCAGAGATCTGCAGTCTACTAGTTACAGCAAATCAAGTATGTAAATACTTAGGTGTATTATTTACATCTGGATTGCTAAACTCATGAAGACTTTGAGAAGTAAATGAAGTGAGAAGATAAACTACAGAAGACAGACTGATAACTGCATGGCTTTTCAGCATTGGTTTACCACTTCCCGGCATCCCAATTGCCATTCCTTTAATCCCTGCTTCATTCCTGCATTTCCTCTTCATCCCCCATAGATATCAAGTCATCACACAAACACCTCCACCTGAAGCTGAGAGGCTCTGAAACTGGCAAACAGGAGGCAAATTAGACAAACCATCACTCAGGAGGCAACAAGACAAGGACGCCACATTAACCATTTAGATCTACAAATATGAAGCCAAAGCCTGACCACTCGGCAAATCTAAGTCCTCCGTAAATACATGGAGCATATTCCTTAGATCAAATGAAACACACAAAAAGGTTCCATTCCAGCAGAGTGTCTGTGAATAGAATCACGCCAGTACACATTCATACACATTTCTTCTCTTCTGAAAGTGTGATGTATATACACAAAGTTCTAGAGACTTTTTTTTTCTGTTTTTAAAATCCTAGAGGAAGTTAAATATATTGAAAGAGGGAAATAGATCAAAGAAGTTCCAGTGATTTGGCAGGGAAAAAAAAAAAGACAGTCCTCAATTTACCTGATATGAAAATAAAATTCCCATTTGTATAAATTAGGTTTAGTTAATGAAGAGATTTCAGCACCACTTCACTAAAGTCATTAAGGCAGGCAGACGGGCTTGGAGAGTGCTAGTAATGAAATCTCTGGCAGGAAACAGGAAGTAATAAAGTTAAGAAAGCAGAGGTTCAAAACAGGGAGGAGTTTGCCAGCTGAAATTCTCCCAAGCAGAAAAGGTCTAACCACACCCTACCACATGATGCTCCACCAGCCAAGGCTAATCTGCAGACAGCATCTGGGACCCTTAATTTTCAAAGAGGACACAGACAGTGGAACAGCATGGAGACTGCAGACACTGCTCTTTGAAAATGAAGTAAGCACCATCAGCCCAGGATTCCTAATAAGCCTCTGCTACGGTAAGATGGAGGCAAGGTGAATATTAAACTTCTGAGGGTTTTTTGATTTTGGTTTGGTTGATCAAAAATTCCATGCTTGTTCCATATCATTGACTGTATTTAAACCCATGCATAAAATAAACAAGACCAGGATTGCTTAGAGAAGTAATTCATAGTCCTGGTTTTACAATAGTTAAGGATATGTTAACCTCCTAAAGAGGATCAATCAATACTACACAAACTATTACCACTATAATTCACTTGACTATTTTAACAGTTCAAGGAAGAAAGACAAGGATCTGGGAAAGGTTAGGTATATGCCTATAATCCCAGCTACACAGGGTTATGGTTTGAGGACAGTCTATCTGTCTCGAGAAACAGCCAGTCTGTCTCAAAAAAAACAAGCCAGGCATGGTGGTGCATACTTGTGTTCCTATCTGTGCAGAAGGCAGAGGTAGGAGATCGTGGTCTGAGGCTGGCCCTTGGCAAAAGCACAAGATCTGTATTAAAAATAATGTAAAGCAAAAAGGCTGAAGGCATGGTTCAAGTGGTAGAGTACTTGTCTACCAAGCACAAAACCCTAAGTTTAACCCTCAGTACTGCTCAAAGAAAGAAAGAAAAAGAAAAAAAGAGGCAGATACTGCAAACAACAAAACAGAATGCCTCAATTCCAAACAATGTAGTTAATAACTGATTTGGGCCTGAGCATATTGACAATAACCTTTCTGGTCCAATTTTAATAGCTAATAAAATAATGCAGTGTTCAATAACATTGTGATCTCAGAATCACATAATTAAGAAACAAAAAACACGCATCAATCCACCCTACTCATCCCAAAGATAGTAATGGTAAAGCAAAAGAGCCAAGAGCATCCTAAAGACTCACCTTTTGTTGACTGGCTTTTCATCCTTTTCATAGGGTCGAACAAACCATTTCCCAATCCTAACGAAGTTCTTATCCATTAGGCACCTACAATAAGTACATTAAGAATTACTTTGATAGATCCAAAAACAAACTGGAAAATCACTGAATCAATAACCCCAGATGAGACACACCAATGAAAATAAAACTGTCACCAAATAAAGTGTCGAAATGTTTTATTACTTAAAATCTTTGTATTGTACTTACTGAAAGAACTCTGACTTTGAACATTTTTTATGTTCATAGAAAAAAATAAGCAAAATGATTTTTGCTGAAGTATTTCCAAAACTTCTTGTACTATAGAATTACTTCAAATCAGATAACATTTCTGCATGACTTCAATTCTTGTGTCATCAAGAACATCAGAAATGCAGCATTGCTTAAAATACCTCTGGGGTATTCTTCCAAGCCACTGGTATCCATTTTGCAAGTTTTAATGCTATTTTGGGAGCATTTTTTAAAGGTTTGTTTGTTTGTTTGGCTTGGGTTATGATAGATAATCCTTTAGCAAGGATCTCAGTAACAAACACATACCTGATTGGACTTAAAGTCACAGCTTCCATAATAAATATTTGTTTACTCATAACTAGGTTTGTGCCTCACTTTTGAATCCATGCCTTTTGTGAATGTTGTATTTCAATGTCAAATCACAGAGTATATTTTTTGAAGACATGTTAGCTAGTAATTAAGCCCAGCTCATAAATCACACAAATAATGCACAGCAATTCAACTGAAGTGACAGTACAGACAGTTAAGACCAAGTTCACTCATGGACAGGCAAATAACAACTCTCTCATAGCTGCCATCCAGCTGATTATGAGTCATCAACGACTGCAAAGAGTGTCCACTAATGTGTAGTAAAGAAAAATGTGCATTTTGGAGTTGATGGAATACAGTAATCTGTTAACATCACTCCATGAAATGATACATATTTTGTAAGAAAAACAGTGAAAATGCTGCACGTCATTCTTCTATATAAGAAAGAAGAATTTCTTCCTACCAGTAAAAAATCTAGGTAGCAATTCTCTACTCAATATCCAGGCAATTCTGTGGGTGCCTTTTGTCTCTACAGTTCTCACACCACCAAGGAGGAAGCACGGAGCGCGCGCGCACATACACACACAATCACCACAGGTTAAATGGGTCAGTAAATGGCAGTAGTTTCTGCTGCCCATAATGTAAGCGTTTTGGGCAGAGTCAATTTGGAACACTGTTAGATTTGCCTTCAACTGGTTTTATTCTGAAAGCAAACAATCATCCTTGTTCCAAAGGAAGAAAATCATTTTCAAAATAGTCCAATCTGATTTCCTGAGTTTACAGATTAAGCAAGTATGCTTCTTAAAGACTAAATGACTTCATAAAAGTTAAAATAGAAAATATGGAATACTCACTCAAAGACAAAGTACACAGGAAGTAAAGCTGAAAAGGCATCGCATGGCTTACTCCCCCACCAAAAGACTTACTTTTCAGCTAGACTGTACGTAAATAGATATTCGCACTGAAAAGTCCAGAGTTTGATAACAGAGTCTTGATTTAATAATACTCTCAATATGTACCACTAGACTCATTCCTACCATCACCATATTTGATTACCAGGCACAGAATCTCATTTAATTAACTCCTATAATAATGATGAGATGGGTTTTACAGTGTCTGTTTTTATAGACGAGGAAGCTGAGGCACAGAGAAAATACCACCTAGCCAAGGTCACATAGCTTGTCCACAAAGAAGCTGGCATCAGTTCAGGTATATCACAGAGACAGGGCAATTAATTTAGCATTTCTTCAAGTCTTTCCTCCCTCGTTTCTTAAATCTAGATTCATCTTGTAATTGAATTAATATGAAAGTGTTTCTTTACAAAAGCTGTTACTGAATTGAAAGGATACCTTAAGATCAGTCTTACTTACAATGAAAGCAACAGTATATTTAATAGGTATAGAATCACATCAAACACTGTCTTCTAGTGACACACATCATCACTTAACAGCATTTTAGAAATATTACTCTGTGATAAATACCATAAAGTGTTAAGAATTCAAAAGAATTATTTATTCAGTTTCGAAAACATGACTTTATAAGTACATAGCTTCTAAATCCAAAGCTTTAAAACATAAGAAAAACAAAAAATATCTGTGACTAAAGGACAATGTTTAAAAAGTGTATTTAAAACCATATGCCCTTTTACAAAGTGAAAGTCACAAATTCTATTCACTGGTTTCATTCTAAGAAAAAAAGACAAAACACAGTCTGAAGTGTGAGGGAGCAGTGTAAAGCCAAGACCACAAAAGCAGACTGCAGAAGGCTATGACACTGCTATCCGGGAGTCCACCTCCCAGATTTTCTGAGTGAAAATGAATCTCCTGGAGTTTCCAAGCCAGATCATATTTCTTTGTCAGGCTATGTCAACAAAAGGTTATTATCACTAATATACAAAAGAGCCATGCAAACATCTGTTTCCAAAAACAGGTTATAATTACTTATGTAATTTTTCAATTACTAATCAGTTTATGTAAGAAGTGATTTCTTATACTGTGAAAGGAAAAGAGAGGAACACAAAAAAATGGCACTGGAAGTAGTGCTTGTACTTGACTTTCTAAGTACTGGGGTGGTGGCAGGAGGATAAATAAAAGACCCCTCCAAGGGTAGGCAGTACAGAAAATAATTCTACCTGGAGCTTTGTACTTTAAGCCTTGGGAGAAAATGAGACAAAAAGGTATGTCTTTGTTAAGAAAGACAGTTCTACCACCTAACTGGTACATGTTGATTTAATGCAGACTAAACTGACTTTCAATAATTTTGGAGTCATGGATCTACACATTAAAAACAAAACAAAATCTAATGAGAGCACTCATAAACTGCACAGAAAAATGCAGTGAAGAGCAAAACACTGTATACAATTCCATAGAGCAGGTGGCTCTTTCTAAAGCACATCATAGGTTAAAATTCCCAAATCAAACACTGTTCTTAATGGCTTTTCCCCTGCTTTGACCTGGAATTCCTTTACTTTACTGTCCCATTCTAACTCTCCTCCTCCTCTAATTTAACTTCTACACATCTTTCCTATCCCAGGTCAAGCCTTCATGGTACTATTACATCTACAAATGGGCACTTTCACCCTAAGGCTGTAATGATTCACCTCTATGACTCTCTTCTCTCTAACAATAGTCAACAAATATTCAAATCCTATGATGTAACAGTCTTCATGCTCTGCTCTGTACTGGTAGACGCTCAGTAGTGATCTGAAAAACAAATGTTATATACACCAAAGAGCACCTTCCTATTCCTAATGTAATGCTGTACTCTTCCTGCTTATAGCCACTAACCATGTTGTATAGTATCTGAACTTTCTGTGCATAGGTAGGCTCACCAGTGAGACACTGAGTGATGGAAATAGAAGCATCTATTTCTTTATATCCTACCGGTTCCCACTGCAGATGAAACCCACAGGAGATACTCCACACGGGGGTGGGGCAGGGGGGAGCTATACAGCTGCTAAAACAACAAAGGTGATCCGTAGTGCCAAACTCTTTAATTACATTTGAAGAACATAATTAAGCCAATCTCTTAAAAACAGCTAATTTGAAGATATAAAAAGTATATCAGATTATAACTTCTCCTTTTCTACACTCTAGCAATCATTTTCTTCTTTCTGAGGGAAAAATTTACATTTAACGTCACAAGAACACCTAACAGGTATTTTCCATCTGCCAAAAATTGCTTCAAATCAATACCATCGGCATAGAGGTCAGCTAACTGTCCATTCAGTAACCTCAGCCATCATCATCGCACATTTTCAAAATTCCTTTACTAGTACCATAGGACATAATCCTGTAAAGCAGTGCAGTATTATCCTGCAAGATCACACTACGTGATGCCAGATTTATAAAATATTCTTAAAGCAACAGTAATAGAACATGATCTTTTCTCAACCTTCTACCATCTCCCAAAAATCACTGTTTCAAGAATAAATATTCAGGCCAGGAGCAGCAGCTCAGGCCTGTAATCCTAAATTACTCCAGAGGCAGAGATCCAGAGGATAGTGGTTCCAGGCCTACCCAGGCGAAAAACTCCATGAGATCCTATCTCAACCAATAAAACTAGGGTAAGGTAGCATGTGCCTGTCATCTTAGCTACATGGAAAGCATAAATAGGAGGATCGTGGTCCAGGCAGGCTCAGGTATCAATGCTAGACTAAAGAGCTGGGATGTAGCTCAGTGGCAGAGCACTTGCGGAAGGCCCTAGGTTCGATTCCCAACACACACACACACACACACAGCAAAAAGAGCTGGGGGTATGGCTCAAGTGGTAGAGACAAAAGGCCCTGAATTCAAACCGCAGTACCACGAAAAAGAAACAGTTGCTGAAAAATGAAAATGAAATCAAGTTGCATGTGTGTTTGTGTGTGATGATTCTGTGTCATGCCAAATGGCTCGGAATGACTAAATACAATGTGCAACTTAACCCTAACTGGCAAGCTCTAAACCTAATGGCACGGGCAAACAATGTGGAGTTATAAGCCTCACAGCACTCCCACAGCCTAACTAAGCAAGTCATTTCCCAGATGAGGCAGTTGGAAGGTATAGAAGGAAGCCCGGGACTGACACTAGTCCTTCTGTGCTTCTCAAACAATGTGCAAATGATAGTTTTTATTCTGGTAATCCGAGCTACTCAGGAGCAGAGAGCAGGAAAATCACAGTTTGAAGCCAACCCTGGACAAACAGTTTGCAAGACTCTATCTCAAGGGGAAAAAAAAAAAAAAAAAAACCACCTATCACACAAAAAAAGGAGGGTGGAGTAGCTCAAGTGATAAGAACCTGCCTAGCAAGTGAGGCCCTGAGTTCAAAACCCCAGTACTGCCCCCCCCCAAAATGTTTTATAGGTTTAAAAAGTCCAAGTGTAGTGTTCCTCTACCATACCCTCAACCAACATGCATCTCAGTGTTGCCATCTGTTTACAGAGCTGGTCATGGACTATATTTTTATCGACATTCACACTTAACACATCCTCACCAGTATTCACTCCTTCCTTACCTGACCAGTCCTATCTCC